GCAACTAGAGGATCTGTCACCTAACAGTAATATGTCACAGTGTGAGTATACAGATAAAGAGACCAGAAGTACACATCAGCACAGCACAGTCACAAACATAATCCACAGGACCACCTTGAGAAACAACCCTTGTCTAGTCTATAGCCTTTTTTGTTTCTGTATTTGGTTGTTCATCCAGTTCTACATCAAATCCCACTTAAATAACTGCAGGACACTTGTCCTCCTTCTTTCTTTCTGTCTACTACTGTCACTGCCTGTAAATCAATTTGAAGGGTTGGAAGAAAGGCATGATCAAAAGTGAACTCTCACTTCAAACCCTTCTATGGAAGACTCCTCTGCTGTTTTCCTGGCAGAGCCATCTCAACTATGCATCCATATTCAGCCAATATCTGAATCACACCAAACACACTCCTCCCACAGGTCCATTGATGTCTGAAAACTGTACTGGTTTTCACCGGGTAGTCAAAAGCTGAGAAGTCATTCCTGATTCTTTTCATTTGCCTCTACATTCTATTTGCCACTTTCAACAAAGCTCGATGATTGGGGTATCAAAACAAAATCTTGAATATATGGATAGGATGCAGCTCAGTGGCGGAACATTTGTATAGCACACATGAGGCCCTGGGGTCCATCCCCAGCACAAATAAATAAATAAATAAATAAATAAATAGGTAGGTAGGTAGATAGATAGATAGATAGATAGATAGATAGATAGATAGATAGATAGATAAATACCTCAAATTTATTTTGACATATCTTTATCATAGGTGGTACAGCCTGACTTCTGACTCATCTCATTTCCATTCTTGCCCCTCTTCACCAGCTAGGTCCCATGTGTAAGCAGAAAAAAAATTTTAAAACATAAAACACATGGCGCGCTTCCCTGCTCAAACCTCTCATGGTGTCCTGTCACATTAATGACACAATTAAATCCCTGCAAGTGGCTTCTAAAGCCATGTATACATTGATCCTAATCTCTATTTGCTGCCTTTCCTACTCATTTACTACACACTTGTTTTCCAGTATCCTTCCTGTTTATCCATTATGCCCAGTTCCTTCTTAATTAAGGACATTTGTAATTGTTGATCCATCTACCATAAAATTCTCAGCCTCAGGCCAGCAAGACAGGTCAGCAGCTGAAGTGCTAGCTTTGCAAGCCTGACACCATGATGGAAGACGACAGGCAGCTCCACAAAGTTATCTTCTGACATCCATCCTTGCACTGTAGCATGTGGGTGCCCGAATTCACATGCCACACAAACATGCAATAATAATGTGTAACAAGTTTTTTCTGTCCTACCAGCCAACTTCCAAATAACAACACTGAGACTTTTTACTAATTATGAAAGCTTGGCCTTTAGCTTAGGCTTGTCTCAACTAGCTCTTATAACTTAAATTTGTATTAATCTGTGTTCTGTGATGTAGCACCCATCCTGCTTCCTTCATGTCTCCTTGTGTCTCCTGCCCCTCAATTCCTCCTCCTCTTCCTTTCTTTCCCCGGAAATCCCACCTATACCTCCTGCCTAGCTATTGACCATTCAGCTCTATATTAAATCAATCACAGCAATATATCCTCACATAGTGTACAAATATCCCACAACAGTAAACAAAATGGTTTAAAATCCTTTGCCCCTCACCATTCACAGTCAGTTGTTATATTCCTCAGGGGAACCTTGGTTGAACTGAAATAAGAAGTAACTACTCACCCTCCCCATCACTCTCACATATTACCCTATCCTACCTCCTTTGCAACATATCAATGAGTGACTCTCCTTCAAATAGCTTACAGTTTTCTTCCTCTATTAGAAAGTAGCAGCTGTGACTACAAGAACCTTGTCTGTCTTCTTCATCACCACCTTCCTCTTAAGACAGTGCCTGTCACAAAGTAAAAGCTCAATAAATGTTTATGAAATGATGGACACATATATAAGAAAAGGGAACAGATGTTCTGTTGGCTACAGTCAAGTTATTAATGATACTAGCGTGCAAACTTGGTATAGGGAGACATAACATTTCTACCAATTAGGTCATCTCTTTTCTTTCTTAAAGTAATGTAATCGACCATTATATTTTGTTACTAGCTTTAGCATGTTTTCTTTGATCTATTTCCACCCTTAAATTAGAAATATATTGCTACCACCACCTCTCCTTTTCTCCCTCTGTTCCATCTTATTAAGATGCAATCAAGGTCAATAAATTCCAAATCTTTACATTTTGAAATCTGATGGATTTTGAATTTAAATTTTATTAATTAGTCTATGTGTGTGTATGTATGTATGTATGTATGTATGTGTCTGTCTGTCTGTCTGTCATCATTATGTGTGTAATGGTGAATGTGTGCATGCGAGGGCTGATGCTAACATCAGGTAATGTCAGAATAGATTGAACTATTTAGATCTAGTTGGTATCTGTAGAATTAGAAAACTGGCCGCTGTGCTGGAAAGTAGTCCAGGCAGTATAAGAATTCCAACATTGTTGTTCAAAGTTGCTTTGGCCATTTGTAGGTTCTCTGTCTCTCTATCCAATTCTAGAATCAGCTGGTCAAAACAAAATTGAGCTAGTGTTTTTGCTTGAGATAGCTTTTATTCTAGGTATAAAACTGGGAGAACTAACATTTTCATGATTCATGAAAATGGTATAGCTTTCCATCTTTTAGGTCTTTAACTTTTTTCATACTTGGCTTGCTTAACTATTTGACAAATTCATCTCTACTTAACTGTTCAGTTTTGGTACCATAATAAATGATGTTGTTTTAAAATTTTCTGATCATCTCTTGCCCATAAATAGACATAATACAGTTTTTAAAATACTAATCTTGACATTCTATTACTTAAAAAACTCCCTTATTAATATTAATAGCCTTTTCAAGATTCTTTGGGATTTTTCTAAAGGTAACCATGCTATGAATAACTTTTTAAGTTTACTTCATCCTGTCCAGATACATTCTTCTTCTTCTTACATGATCCACTGCTTTGAATTACTGGTATCATTAGAATAAAAATAAAAGGAAGCACCTTGCTTTGTTCCTGATCACTAGAGGAAAATATTACTTCAACCTCAGGCATATGGTTGCTCTTACACAGATGTTCTGTTCCTTTGGATTAAGAAAATTCTTGTCTATTCCTAATTTGCTGAGAGTTTTTGTCCTAAGTAGATGTTGTAATGAGTACTTTTTATGGACCTAGAATTCTCCTTCTTTCACATTTTTTATTGAATCTTTGCTTTAAAATCCATTTGGACCTCATCAACTTCAGAATACAATACAAGTCTCTTATCACTGTATAAAGCTCCCATCATTTCTCAAGGCTTCTCTATGCTATGCCATTGCCGAAGTTCTTCCAGTGCTGTGGACATGCCAATGCTATGACAGCCTCTGTGAGATCTCTGGAATATTAGCCTCTTAACCTCTCACTCTGAACCTTGTCCCAAGTATTCCATACTCCAGTTGTCCGTTAAATCTTGACTTTGAAAGATCACTTTAGTGACAAGTCTTTCTTGTGTTAAATCCGTACGAAATTCATGCTTCTAACATTGACGATGCCATGTGGCATGAAATTATTTGTTTGATTTTTTTTGTCTCCCTTCTCTATAGGTGATGAACAATGCAAGAATAAATATAATGTTTTGTAAAATTTTTATTCAAAAATAGGCTCTCAGCATAAATAAAATACTGTCTGAAGTTTTATAAAAAGTCATAAAAATTCTTTATAGAAATCTAAGACATTGCTTTGTATTATATTCTATTTTGCAAATATATTTTAGGAGTGACTAACATAACGTTAGTATATATAAACCATCTATATTACATCAATACAATTATTACTACTATGTATCTGTGAATACATTAATACTTAAGTAAATGTCAAAATCAAGTCCTACTGTCCACTGTGGCCCCCCAAATGATACTTATATATAATTACAAGTAGACACTGATACTCACAAAACCCTTACAGTAATATCCCATCATCCCTCCATTTTACAAAGGAGGAGGCAGAAGAGGCACTGGCAAATTCAGTCTAGAGCTAAATATGCAAACCTAGCCATGCACGCAGGACAGTTCAGCTCTGAACCCTGTTCTTTTCATTTCTATGGCCTATGAATAACACCTTTACAAACACCGTTTCCTTTCTCTAGTCATATTCACAGAGTGTAATTATGTTCCATTATGTTTCATACAAGACGAAGATGGTCCCCATGTTCCTTGCAGAATGATGAGAGAACATTATGAAGAGGAAAGAACTTAAGAGGACGTCTACTTAAGGTGTTCACTAACAGCTAGTCACTTAGACACCATAGCTTTACTGGCTTACATGGTTTTACTAATTTACTTCAATTTATGGTTTTATGGAAAATGCCATAGGATGAATTTTAAATGATTCCATGTGATGAGCTGGGTTTTATGTACTTACATTATAGCTATAATGACATTGTAGCTACATTGACACTGCATGGGAGTGTGAGATATTCTATAAACCCAGAATATTCATATAGACCACTTTGGGAGAACAAAAACTGGAGGGAGTAAATATGAATTTAAAATGAACCTCCCAATACCATTCTTTTTTTGTGGTAGTGGTGGTGCTACTGTTGGTGTGTGAGTGTGTATATGTGTGTGTGTGTGTGTGTGTGTGTGTGTCTGTGCACATGCATGTGTGTATGTATATAAATGTGAAAACTAGAAGACAACCTCTGGTGGTGTTCCTCAAGCACTATCTACTCAGTTTTATGGGGCAGGGTCTCTCACAGGCTTAGCGCTTGCCAGGTAGGCTAGGCTGGCTGGCCAGTGAGCCACAGGGATCAGCCTTTCTCCACACCCCAAGGCCATACCACCATGCTTGGCTTTGTTACATGGGCCATCAAACTCAGATTTTATTGCTTGTGTGACAAGCCCCTTACCGACTGAACTGTCATCCCAGCCCCTGGTTAGTCTCCATAAGCAACATTTCACTAAAGCTTCGGAAGAAGCTGGAGACATTTCAAAGAATATATCAAATAGTTACCTGCAAACAGAACAGAACTCTCTTATGTTTTTCTATTTCAGATGTTTGTGATTGTTGTTGTTTTGCAACTTGCTCTACAACATCTGTTAATGAAGACGTGTCTTCTTTGCTCATAGCTAGATAAAGAATAAGGTATTTAATAAAAATTAAATGCATATATTTTAAGGAAATCATGTTTCTTTCTATAAGTTCATTAAAAACAATGTTTTTTTCTTAAAATTTTTGTTTGTTTGTTTGTTTTTTTCAAGACAGGGTTTCTCTGTGTAGCTTTGCGCCTTTCCTGGGACTCACTTGGTAGCCCAGGCTGGCCTCGAACTCACAGAGATCCGCCTGGCTCTGCCTCCCGAGTGCTGGGATTAAAGGCGTGCGCCACCGCCACCTGGCTGTTTTTTTCTTATAAATAACTAAATTTAGGATTGATAGTCTCCCTTTCTGGCCCTAAGCAAAATCAAGATCAAGGCAATAGTAATGTCACTTGAAGGTTGCTTACCTCAGTGTTGTACCAGTTCTTTATAGAATAGAGTAAATATGATTGTCTTAATTTCCTAATCCAGAACTCTTGCACATGTTATAATTACAGTGATATCATAGTAAGTGAAAACCACTTAGAACTGATTATTTTTCATTGTAGTCCTGTTTTTTAATTATTTATGTTTTGAAATTATTACTCATAAACTCCTCTAAGTTCCTCCAAGTACCCCTCCTCACTCTTTTTCCAAATTTATGGTCTTTTTAAAAGTTAATTGTTGTTAATACATATATGTATTAACATATATAAATATACACATACATATATACGTACATATACACACATATATTAATAAATTCATAAGCACAACCTGCTTGGTCTGTCCTCACTCTTTTTTCAAATTTATGGTCTTTTTAAAAGTTAATTGTTGTTAATACATATATGTATTAACATATATAAATACACACATACATATATACATACATATTCACACATATATATTAATAAATGCATAAGTACAACCTGCTTGGTCTGTATAATGTAACCTGTATATACATTTTCAGGGCTGACCACTTGTTATTGGATAACCAAGTGGTGTGCTCTACTATGGGGAAATCCCCCCTCACACATACTCTCAGCATTTCTTAGTTGTATAGTCCTGTTTTTTCACGTTACACAAAGCATATAAACCCTGTCTATGTCTATTCCTGAGGAAATACACCTGCTTCCTCCTCCTCTAACTTGCTCCCATTTTTACCACCATGATCCTTTCGTTCATTATGTCAGTGCTGCTGATCTTCCAGCTATTTATTAGGATTGCTCCCTTACCTTCTTTAGGAATGCCTTCCTTCTTCTGTTCTCTGTCTTCTGACATTCTTTGTTTACTAGCTCCTTTCCCTGGATTAACTAGTTCACCTTCTTTACTCCTACAAAACAATAGAGATAATGTTTCACTTTACCTTTTTCCTGACACATATTCATGATCCTAACAGTTGTTAAACACATGACAAGGATGATTAAAGACTGTTGACTATGAGTATCAATAATTAAACACAATAATTAAGTGAGATTTAGGAAGAAAGAAAAACTATATTTAAATTTTGGTTTTTCTGCTTTTTAGCTGTTAGGAGCTTGAGGAAGTTTTTTCCTTTATCTTCTGTATCTTTATCTGTGAAGTCTCGGAGGGCCAAGGTCATAATTAAAGATATTATAACACACTCCTGTTTGTACACACACACACACACACACACACACACACACACACACACACACACGCAATACCTGACATACACTGAGTAATTACTATGGATTAGTAGCAGGAATTTCCAGTACTGTGTTGAAGAAGATTTTGATCAGCACATGTAAGAAATGATTCCAAGAACATTTCATCATTTCTGTCCAGTGTTACTTTAACCAGGGCCGTCCTAGTCAGGTTTGAAGACTTTTGTTTACCCTTTTCTTAGTAGCAGCTGGTAAGATGGAGGCATGCGGACTCTAGCCATCAATAAAGGAAGAGGGAACTGCACTCACAGGAGTGGAAAGGTGACAGAACAGGCCATTGCGGGGTCAGGACAAACAGCATCAGAATTGGTCTGTCCAGAGGAAATGATACACATTCATAGGATGAAAAAGTGGACTCGATGTCCACAAAAACTGCTGAGATTAGAAGTTACCACCTTCTATTTAACATCTGTGCAGAAGGAAATTTCTAATTGTTAACAAAACCCCAATATTTTATAGATGTTGTAAATCTAACCAGTACTAAAACGATTCCAAACTTTCCAAGACCAATATATATATATATATATATATATATATATATATATATATATATGTATGTATATATATATCCTAAATGTTAAACACATACAAGAAGAAAACCTCCACGGAGAAGTTTCAGCAATCACTGGGCATCTTTTCTAAGGATTAAACACAACACAACACAACACACAAACACACTCACACTTGAGTTACACATGCCTTCTAAACTAAAATTTAAATGACAGATGTGTTACATAAAAGTAAGAAGGAAAATCAAAACTGAATTGCTTCTGAAGCAAGAAGATTGAAATCTACACAGAAATATCTTACAACAAGTAGAAGAAACTCTGAAAGCTTAGCTAGTGAACTGTCAGATGCATGCGAGAAGTTTGAATTCTTTCTTATGTCTTCATGTCACTCCCTTCAGATCTCACTTGGAACTTCCTTCACTCTTGATGTCTTCCTGGTTCTGAGTTCATTCCCTGTTCATGCCTCTGCTCTCTGTCCTTCCCTCATCACACACAGAACTGCCTCAGATTAGTATTGGTGGAGCCAAATATTACATTCTCTATTTATTTGTGTCATCTTATGGTCAGACTTCATCCTTAATTTCCCTACCTGCCTTGAAAACGCATACTCTCTAGCTAGCTCAATGCTTCCAACTGACTACAGGGCTAAGTGCATCTTCCATGCCTACTTGTGCTGGATGCTAAGTACTTCAGACTTGTTTAAGCATTATGTATAATATTTATCCTGCTCTCGGTAGTGTTCTAAGTATTTAACATGTAAACTCATTTGACTCTGAGGTAAATATATACCAAAAGCTCACTGAGGCACAAACAGATCAAGGAACTTACACAGTCAGCTATTGTGATGGGAGTTGAATTCATGTTATTTTAGTAGCACTTAATGCTGGAGTACTGCTTTTTAAAGAGAAGAATCGTGTCTTTATATATCATGTCAGAATCAAATTAGATTGTTAACCATTTTTTCCCTAGTGCCGGGGATTGACCCCAGGACCTTGTGCGTGACATCTTACCTCTGAGCTTCTTCTTTTTACTCACACTACTGTACCCACTTTCCCTGTTTGAGGAACTGTCTCAGGTGGCTCCAGCACCCTATTTGCATGATTCAAGAGGGAACCCAACTTCATGCTCTAAGTTCCTGCTAGATGGACTTCTCTTCCTAGGAAGTCTACTCTCTCCCTCTGAACCAGTGCCACTTCACAATCGGCCCAAAGCTGGTCACTGGCCCCACTGGACTCCATATCCCTCCTCACTCAGGCTTTAGGAGAAGCCTTCAGACTTTCAAATCATGCCTTACTGGGAAGATGCATCCCCACTGAGCTTGGTGCATTCCTTAATTTGACACAGCTGCATGCCCCAACTCACCCTTTGTGTTCCCTGAAACTCAAGTTCCACCTTCAGCAGACTCTCCAGCTTCTTTACTGATCGTTAGCTTTACCTTTCTGCTTTAACTGAAAGCCAGAAATACTGCCTCTTCCTCAATTCACTAACTCTAGTAATGTCCTCCCTCAAATATTTGATGACATAACATAAAGAATGAAGAACATTAGATTCATATGATAAGAAACTAACTGGTATTTCTTGATATTTATTTCTGAATCATGAATCAATATCAGTTGAAGAACTCTTACATAACATTTAATTACACCAACTATTCTTGAAAAAAATTGGAGAAGATTGTGGGTTTTTTGTTTGTTTTTTTGGTGTGTGTGGGGGTGTGGTGTTTTTGGTTTTATTTTGTTTTCTGGATCTCTATGGTGGAACCTAAAAAAAGGAAAGGAAAAAAGAAAGAAAGAAAAGAAACCAATGACTGCCATCTACTGATAATTCATTAGAATTGATACACAGTCATTATCCACTTTTTAAAAAAGCATATTATTGGACTCCATCCAAAAAAAATTCATAAGTCAAACCATTGAAAACTACCATAGTGGAGGCTTGGAAGGTGGCTAAACACATAGCCTAGACTGATAAGACAAAAGGACAGATTCCCACTCTCCTTCCTGTCCTCCCTTAGAATCTCTCCAGTCTCACCCTGAGTCTTGGAGCAGCCGGCTTGCACATGTCCCTCCTCCCACATACTTTCACTCCCTGGGGACTCCACTTCTTGGTGGGCTCCAGCTCAGCTCTTCCCGGCCCCCAGCCTTCCCTTCTAACTCTTCTACATTCCTTTGTGTCAGCTGCAAATGCCCAGAAACACTTTCTACCTTGGACGCTCCCCCCCCACACACACACACCCGCTCCGCCGTGGCTACCTCAGGTTCCGACTCAGGTAAGTGATATTTTACTATCCCTCTGGACCTTCATGATCCTCTGCCAGACTTACTCCTAGTCCTGCTTGCAGGACCCCTCCTCCCATCTCAACATCATTCACTGGAGACCCCACCTCTTAATACAGATCCAGGGCCCCCTAGCCCTTTCATCCCTCTCTCCAGACTTACTCTTTTTCTTACTGTGGCCTGCTTGTGGGAGCCCTCCTCCCACCATACCCCATTCCCTGAGGACCCCACCTCTTCCTGTGGGCCAGATCCCCCTAACTCTTTGCCACAGCCACTCTCAGCCTTTCCTCCTAGCCATCTCCATTCCTTTCTGTCACCCATCAACTTGTGGAAGCACTGTCTGCCAGAGACCCCACATCTATCACTTGCCTAGGGTCCAGAAAGGGCAACAGCAACCAAAGAACAGGACACCCACACAACAATGCCAAGAGCAGATGTCAAAACCTAGAAACTTCTTAATCATCTTAACTCCAGGTGCCTAGACTCCAGTATAAAAACACATGACCAGCCAAGATAACACGCCTCTATTAGAAACTAATAACCCTATTACAGTAGGCCCTAAAAAATGTAATAGAGCTGAAGCACAAGCCAAGGACTTCAAAACAGTAATTGTGAACATATTCAAGGGCCATAAAGAGGAATGAAGACCATGAAAACATAAAGAAACAGTTGAATGAAATAATGAAAAAATGTAAAAATGGAAGAATTTAACAAAGAAATAGAGTCACTAAAAACCAAAACTGGCCGGGCAGTGGTGGCGCACATCTTTAATCCCAGCACTGGGAGGCAGAGGCAGGTGGATTTCTGTGAGTTCAAGGCCAGTCTGGTCTCCAAAGCAAGTTCCAGGAAAGGTACAAAGCTACACAGAGAAACCCTGTCTCGAAAAACCCAAAAACAAGCAAACAAAAAAAAAACTGAAACAAAATTGGAAATGAAAAATTTAGGCAGTCAAAAGCCTCAGAGTTAAGCCTCACCAATACATGGAAGAGAGAATTTCAAGTCTTGAAAACAAAGTAGAAGAAATAAATACTCAGTGCAAGAAAATGTTAAATCTTAAACAAAACAAAACAAACAAACAAACAAAAAAGTACAAAACATCCAGGAAATACACAACACTCTGAAAAGGTCAGATCTACAAATAATAGGGATAGAAGAAAGAGAAGAAACCCAGGTCAAAGGCATAGAAAATATTTTTTAACAAAATCACAGAAGAAAAATTTCCCAACTGAAAGAAGGAGGTGCCTACCAAGGTACAAGCAGACAGAACCCCAAATAGACAGGATCAGAAAAGAAATTCCCATGACACATAATAATCAAAACAACAAACATACAGAACAAAGAATGGACATTAAAAGCTGCAAGGGGAAAAACCAAGTCACACATAAAGGCAGACCCATTAGAATAACACCTGATTTCTCAATAAAGACTCTAAAAGCCAGAAGGGCCTGAACAGATGTTCTACAAGCTCTAAGAGAACACAGATGCCAGTCCAGACTCCTATACCCAACAAAACTATCAGTCACAATCAACAGAAAAGGAAAAACTACACCCAAGAACACAAGAAACAAACAATTCCAGAACAAAAAGTAAAAAGGAAGATAAAAACCCCACATCATAACAACAAAATAATAGGAATCATTAAACACAGTTCATTGATAACTCTCACTATTAATAGTACAAATTCCCCAATGAAAATACACAGACTAACAGATTGGATTAGAAAACAGGATCTATCTTTCTGTTGTATTCAAGAAACACCTTGCCACCAAGAACAGATATTGCCTTAGGATAAAAGGATGGAATAAGGTATTCCAATGAAATGGACCAAGGAACAAACAGATGTAGCCATTTTAATATCTGACAAAACAGACTTCAAGTCAAAACTGATCAGAAGAGATAAGGAAAGACACTACATACTCATCAACAGAAAAATACATGAAGAGAATATTGCAATTCTAAACATTTATGCACAAAACTCAGGGGGCAGAGAAGTTCATAAAAGAAACACTACTACAGCTAAAATCACAGGTTGATCCTCATACAATGACAGAAGGAGATTTCAATACCCTACGATCACCAATAGACAGGTCATCCCAACAAAAACTAAATAGAAAAAAACATGCTTGAGTTAAATAACATTATAAATCAAAAGGACCAAGCAGACATCTACAGAACATTTCAGCCAAACACCAAAGAATATACTTTCTTCTCAGTAGCTCATAGAACTTTCTCCAAAATTAATCACATACTTGGATACAAAGCCAAGTATCAACAGATATAATAAAATTGAAATACATTTTGCATCCTATCCAACCACAATGGATTAAAGCTGAGTTTCAGCTGAAGCCTTAACTAGAGCAGGAGGACAATGGAAGGAGATCAAGGGAACACAAATAGGAAATGGAGAAGTCAAAGTATCTTCATTTGCAGAAGACACAGTTTTATGTAGAAAAGACCCTAAAAACTCCACCAGGAAACTCCTAGAACTCATAAAAATGTTCAGTAAAGTAGCAGGAAACAAAATTAACACAAATAAATCAGAAGCCTTCCTGTATATAAATGAAAAACATACTGAGAAAAAAATTTGGGAAACAGTACCTTTCACAGTAGCCTCAAAAACAACAAAATATCTTGGGATAACTCCAACCAAGTGTCTTTATTCGGGTTTCTATTGCTGTGAAGAGACACCATGACCACAGTAACACTTATAAAGGAAACCATTTCATTGGGGCTGGCTTACAGTTCAGAGGATTGGTCCATTATCACATCAGGAAATATGGCAGCATGCAGGCAGACATGGTACTGGAGAGATAGCTGAGAGTTCTACATCTGGATCTGAAGCCAGCAGGAAGAGAGAGTGACACTGGGCCTGGATTGAGCATTTGAAACCTCAAAGCCCACCCCCAGTAACACACTTCCTCCAACAAGGCCATACTTCCTAGTAGTGCCACTCCCTATGAGCATATGGGGGCTATTTTCATTCAAACCACCATACCAAACAAGTGAAAGACTTGTAAATAAAAACTTTAAGACATTGAAGAAAGAAACTGAAGAAGACGCCAGATGATGGAAGTATCTCTCATGCTTATGGACTGGTAGGATTAATATTGTGAAATAGCCACACTATCAAAGTTATCATTGACCACAATTCTCATCTAAATTCCAACACAATTCTTCACATTAATTGAAAAAAAATTATTCCTTCATATGGAGACACAAAAACCCCAGGATAGCTAAAACAATCCTGGATAATATAAGGATTGCTGATTGTAACACCATACCAGATTTCAAGTTGTATTAAAGAGCTATAGGAATAAAAACAGCATGTTATTGGCACGAAAACAGAAATGTTGATCAATGGGATAGAATTGAAGACCTAAACATAAGTACACACATCTATGAACACCCTTTTTTGGGGGGTGGTTTCGAGACAGGGTTTCTCTGTGTAGCTTTGGAGCCTTTCCTGGAACTTACTCTGTAGCCCAGGCTGGTCTTGAACTCACAGAGATCAACCTGCCTCTGTCTCCTGAGTGCCTGGCTTTATGAACACCCATTTTTGACAAAGAACTCAAAAATACAAACTGGAGGAAAGATAACATCTTCAACAAATGGTGCTGATCAAACTGGATGGTTGCATGTAGAATAATTCTAATGGATCCATATTCATCACCCTGCACAAACTCAACTCCAAATTGACAAGGACCTCAACAGAAGACCAAATACCCTGAATATCTGATAGATGAGAAGGTGGTGTATAGGCTTGAACTCATTGGCACAGGAAAAGACTTTCTGAACAAGACACTGACAGCACAGGCACTAAGAACAACAATTAATACATGAAACCTCATGAAGCTGAGAAGCTTCTGTATGGCAAAGGACACCATCATTCTGGTAAAGTGGCAGCCTACAGAATGGAAAAGATTTTAGCCACCCATCTGATAGAGGATTAATATCTAAAATACATAAAGAAATTAAAATAAACCTGAACATCAAGAAAACAAATAACCCAATTAAAAAATGGGTACAGAACTACTCAGAGACTTCTCGAAAGATGAGATACAAAGGGCTGCGAAACACTTAAACAAATGTTCAACATCCTTAGCCATCAGGGAAATATAAATTAAAGCTACTCTGAAATTTCATCTTACACCAGTCAGAGTGGCCAAGCTCGGTAGATCAAATGACAGCTCACGCTGGGAGGATGTGGGGAAAGGGGAACACTTGCTCATTGCTGGTGGGAGTGCAAACTTGTACAGCCACTATGGAGATCAGGTGACAGTTCCTCAGGAAGCTGGGAATTAATCTGCCCCAATGTGCAGCTACACCACTCTTGGACATAAACCCATAGGACTCGACATCCTACTACACAAATACTTGCTCATCCGTGTTCAATGCTGCTGTATTCATAATAGCCAGAAACTGCAAACAGCTTAGATGCCCATCAAATAATGAATGGATAATGAAAATGTGGTACAATGAGATATTAATACGTTGTTTATAAGACTATAAAACAAAAGAAATTAGGAATTTTGCAGGTAAATGGATGGAGCCAAAAAACAAAAAACAAGAATCATCTTGACTAAGGTAATTCAGCACCCTCTCCCCCTACCAAAAAATAAAAGAAATACTATTTATATGTTTTCTCTTGTATGTGGGTGCTAGCTTTTAAGCCTTCAACATGTGTTCTGCAATTAGTAGAACCATGGAGGTTAGCTACTGAGTGGGGGGACTAGGGGAAAGGGAAGGATATCCCAAGGGAAGGGAAAGAGAATTTATTAGTAAGGAAAGGTGTGGCAGGGTTGGTAGCTGGAGGAGGATTAAATGGGGAGAGGTATGGAAGAGATGGGGAATGGAGGGAATCGGGGAGGGACAACTAATGCCAAAGGCCATCTGAGGGTCAACATGGAAACATGCCACCGAAGAAGCATCCTGAAATTACATGTGTGTGTGTGTGTGTGTGTGTGTGTGTGTGTGTGTGTGTATATATATATATATATATACACATATATGTGTGTGTGTGTGTGTGTGTGTGTGTGTGTGTGGTGTGTGTGTGTGTGTGTGTGTGTGTATGGGGCTTGAGAGAGAGCGCAGTGGTTAAGAGCACTGGCTATTCTTCCAGGGGACCTGGGTTCAATTCCCAGCACCCACATGGCAGCTCGAAGCTGTCTGGAGCTCCAGTTCCAGGGAATCTGACACTCTCACACAGACATTCATGCAGACAAAAAAAAAAAAAAACAATGCACACAAAGAGAAAATAAATTATTTTAAAATAATAATAACATCAATAACCCCATCCCCCCCAAAATAATGTTTGAGGCCAGCCTATGCTACAACGAGACTATGTCTCAAACAAGGCAAAACAGAACAACAACAATATATATATAATATTATATATATATATATATATGAAAGAAATAAAATAGTCTTCAAATAATGGGGGAGACAGTACCCCAAATAGATATCTTCTGTCACTAAGTGAAACCTCTAGTGCCATCAATTAGCTGAGCCAAAGGGAGTCCAAAGAAACCCCCCAACATCTCAGGCTATTGCCTAGGCCATTGGTTGGCCCCCACAAGCTTATGGTACAACCCTATCCCTAAAGACAACACTTACCAGTGTTGTGACAGAGAACACAGAGAGGTCCAGCTGGTGCCTACACAGAGGCTTCACCTCTAACTAGTACCAGCTCATGGTACTAGAAGGTGCGCTGCATGATACCAGAGGAGAAGGGTGATCCTCAACCCAGTTCCAAACCATGTGGGAGCCAGGCTGCTGTAACAGTGACACAAATGTGGGAATAACCAACCGCTCTCTGACTGGGTTGAAGGCCAACTCTGTGAGCTGGAATTCACACATGAAACAGCAAGGGTGGCCATGGAGCTAGGGGAAAACCAAACACCACTGCTCAGCTAAAGGGACATAGCAATAAAATGACTTCTAACAATGTTCTGCTATACCTACAGATCGGTACCTTGCTCAGCTATCATCAGAGAAGCTGCTGCTTGCAGGAAATGGGAACTAACACTGACCCACAACAGGACAAAGTGCAGAGAGTGAGAAATACCGGAGCACTCAGTCCTAAATGGGATGCCTTGATCAAACCCTCCCCTCAGGGCTCAGGGACCTAGGTGGGAGAGGAGGCAGACAGATTGTAAGAGCCAGAGGGAACGGATGGCACCAAAGAACCAATGTCTTTCCACCACAACAGGGCTGACGCACATATCAACTCACTGTGGCAGCATGCACAAGGTCTGCAGTTTCAAGCCAGCTGGGGGCCCGCGCTGAGAGGGGGAAGTTCACATGGGATCCCACATCTAACCAAGAACTGTCTCCAGTTGGTACCTGTTTGCCAAGGAAACATTCGTTTTCTTCAATGCAGTCTCACAGGGCATGTAAGCCACACTTCAGGGTGGGTCCTATGCCTACCAGTAGACGTCAACACTAAATAAGCTCAATGCTATTTTTGTAGACTTTGACCTCATGTGGCTTTGTTTGGACAATTTTTTTTACTCGGTGGTCTTTTGCTTATATGCTTTGGTTTTCAAATTTGTGGGTTGTGTGTGTGTTTCTTGAGTTTTTGTTTGTTCATTTGTTTTTTAAAAAAGAAAGAAGGGATGTGGAGTTGGATGGATGGGCAAGGAGAATCTGGGAGGACTTAGAAGAGCAAAAAAGTACGCTCTGAATATATCATATGAAAATATGTTTTCAATAAAAAAAAGATGGAAAGACAAAAACCTTCAAATGATGCCAGGATGTTGCAACACTTCAGTTTACTATTTGCTCTCCATAACTGATAGAGAACACATTTTTGTTTAGTCACCCAGTTTGTGGCAATTTATTTTGGCAGCCCCAACAAACTTAACAGGGGGCTATTAAGAAAGAAATCTGCATGGGTTACATGGCCTATTCTGTAAAGATCCATAAACTTTCATTCAAATGGCTTAACAACAACTGTCTAGGCCAGTGAGATGGTTCAGTGGGTAAAGATGCTTTCAGCCAACCCTGAGAGCCAGCATTCAATCCCTGAGATTCACACAGCAGAAGAGAACGGACTCAAGCAAGTTATCATCTGATCGCCACATGCATGAGCTCACACACACACACACATATGCACACACACACACAAACACATACACACAAACAAAATAAATACAAATTTTTAAAAATTGGACACAGCTCTTAAAATTTCTACTCATCTCATAAGATTTACAATAGAATTATAAGGATATATATAGGGACTTCCCAAGGGTTTTTCTTAACAGTCAATCCCCAAAATGCTGTTTCTATGACATACGGTCAAATAATTAAAAATAGAGAGGTGGAGTGGATGCTCTTAGCCCATTTGCACTTGGCTTTTAATCAACTCGCCTTTTCTACTCCCTTTGTAAGCCCTAAGTGGTTGATTCCCATAACGTGCCTAATGACCATGGTTAGGAAATTACTCACAGGTGAGCCGGCCTACCAATTGAACTACACAACCATACCATAAATTATCCGTTCTCAAACCTGTTCATGCCAGCTATACTTGATACTATGCTTTTATTACTTAATTAAATATTATGCAAACCAATTATATGGTATAGAAATAAAGTGTTTGTTTCTCTGAGGTCTATGTTTAATAATTTCAAAAGACACAGTAAAGGGTGTGAGAAAACTATAAAAGAATGAGTTTGCATTCAGATTGCTTCAAGAGTGCCTTTAAATTAGTCTCCTCTTAAAGAAACAGAAATGGGGAATCTTTTATGTTTAGGGGTAGCTGTGTGCTTTATGCAAGAGATGTAATGCAGAAAAGTAAGTTGATCATGTGCAAAAAGACTCGACTTTCTCATTGATTGACAAATGAGCATGCAGGTAGATTAAAATAAGTTTACAATACTATACTACACTTTTCCACAATTCTCTGGCTTAGCTTTGTTTTCTTGTGAAAAGCTTTACATAGACATAACCTACATACCATAACTTTCATTCTTATAAAATGGACAATTCAGTGATTAACAAGCCTTCTCAATGTTTTATCGGACTGTGCCTAGAAGAGGACTTCCTGTATATGAAAGTCCTAAGGAAGCTATTCTGCATAGTGAGACAACCAGGCCTCCAGAAAGGTTATGTTTAAGCTTGAAGAGTATTGAGCAACCGGGAGCAGTTACGCTCGCTCACAAAAGAGCGTTCAGAGTACAACCAACAGCAAGTGTAAAGAATGTCGTCATGTGGCCTAGGAAAAAACAGCCTTTACTTGGATGGCTGGAGAATAAGGCAGTTCTTTTTCAAAATGAATTATGCATCTGAATCATCTCTAAGATGAAAACAGAAAAGCAGAACAAAACATGCCCAGGCCTGACTCCTAGAGATTCTGATTCACTGCGCAACGGGTGTGTGGGGTACCTCCATCCTGGTTATTTTTGAAGTTCTACTTGTTCAGATGGGCAACCGGGACTGAGAAGTTTGGGAGCAGTGTGAGAAAGGAGTCAGAGTATTAAGAAATGGGGATCAGACAGGCCAGATGGTGAAGGAAATGGTATGCAAATACAATGAACAACTTCCCTATTTTGAAAGTTTTGTTTGTTACTGCCAGTGGTGTTAGATAAAAGAATCTGAACTCTCACCATTGTGCACAGAAAACAAGGGAACATGTTCTAAACCTGCTTTGTAAATATCATTTCGCTTCTTGACATAAAACAAGTTCATGCCAAGGCATGTATGTCTGACCAGATGTGTATCATCTACCACTCAGGCTTCCTAAAAGTGTCCAGTGAAAATACAGATGTGATCCCCCCCCAACCCAAAGTGGTCACATATACTGGAGTGGGTCCTGTGTGTGTTAGTTACCTTGGTCTCTAGTCAAGTCTAGGTCGGTGCACACTTATAAGAACTCTTCTAAACTCCCAGATACACTAGAGGCTCCTCGTTCAGGAAAAACATGGTCAGCACCCACAGGAACACGAAGGCAGACAAAGGACCCTCTCCTTCCTCCATAGCCCAGTCTACAGAGAATAGGCCTTCTCTTACGTTCTCTTCTATGTGGAAGGTTAGCTATAGTCCAATTTACAACGGTTCTTGATTTCCATAGTGTCGTTTTAAAATTGCATGAAACCCCTGGAGGATAAAGGGTACTGAATTTTGATCTTATTACTCCTCTAAGAATGAATGCATTCTGTCCTATTAGGGTATATATATATAAAGGAACCTAGGAGAACTCTATGTCGTCAACACAGTGAAGGGGGCCGGCCGGCAAGGATGTTGATCCCAAACGAAAGCACAGAATAAGCAGAAAGGGGGTGGGGGTGGGGAATGAGAATCAACTCACTTGTTTCTGGAAACTTAAAAAAAAAAAAAAAACTAAAGAAAAAGTAAAAACCAAAACCCAACTCCCGACAAAACCCTCCGGCGTCCCCTCCCTGGACCCGGGATTGGAGGGCGCTAGGCGCTAACGTGACGGGGTGGTCGGGGTGCTGACCACACTGCTGGGTCAGCACCTCCTCCGGCCGTCCCCGAGGGCCGCCGGGAAGCTCGCTCGCTCTTCCGTTCCGCTCGCCGCCGCCGGGGACGCGCCCGCAGCCCCGCG